ACGTCAGCCTTCCTGCTTCTCTGATGCTGCTTGGCCTGCTGTGTTCATCCAGCTCTACACCTTATTAACAATTGTCTTAATATCCTTTTGCAGCAAACTCTGCTGACAGATGGTGTTGGAAAAAAGGCAAGCCTATGTCAAGATGCAATAAACTTTCTTGAAAAACATTAAGTTCCTTATTTCTGTGTTTGTAGAAAAGGCCGTTGAAAATAGTGATTTTTAAAGAATCTTGACACCTTTAAGGCCATTATAATAACCATGGAGTGATTATAAGTAATAAAATATTCCATTTAAGATGCAACTTATACAGTCTACTCCTGTTAAAATTTCTTATTCATATTATCCAGTGGTTCAAATTAAAGAAATTTAAATAAAAGGTGTTTTCTTGCTTTAAAATAATTAAGTTAACAGATAATTTGAATTAAGCAACCTTGCTATAAACCTGATCAGTAATGAATCAATCATATTTGTATGCCAGTCATTTTTTGAGGGTGGAGTGAATGTCAGTTAATACATGAAGTGGTAAGACTGTTAATACACGACATCGAGCAAGAATTCTTTTTCCACTTTTGAAGCATTCCTTTCTGCTGCACTCATTGATGTGGATTTAACGTCTAGCAGGTGAACCTTCACCCTTTTTCCCCTGTTTGGAACAAAAACAAAGAATATTTTGATGAAGATACATGTATAATTAATAAATAGACAGACAATCAACAGAAAACGCTGAAAACTTTGTCTAAAGTGTTGACTGACTTGGACAGTGTTTAACCCCGAGACATTTACATCTAAATTTGTGAATGCACCAAACTGAACTAAATCCAGAAGAAACCAGCAAGAACACACCCCATACCCCAGGCCTCCTCAATACAAGTTGCTTCTCCAGGTCCTTTAGGGAAAAGGAGCGAGGGTCGACAATGCTATTGCAGTTTGTTGGAGCTGGCAGGAGCTCTCGACCCCTTTGAACTCCACCAGTGCCACATTACCAGAAGTTTTTGATCCTTTCCTGATAGTTGTAACTTAAGGACCACAGGTTAGGGTGACCTGCCAAATTGCCTATCAATTCTTCCATTTTAAATTCATACAATGAACAGTGATATTGAACACAGGCCTATTTACTCATCTGTTTGTGAATACCAAGTGACCTGCCTAAACTTCACAGCATTTGCTGATTTTTTTTTTGCTTCAGATTTCTAATAATTATACATTTTATTTTTAAACTTGACAGCAACATAACCTTATCTAGCATTCAGTGTATATTATAACACTTGCTCTCTAGCACATTTAAGTAGTAATTTAACCTAATCTGCTGGTATGAAATTCATGCTTTTTACACAAGGCATGTCTTTTTGTTAAAATAAAAAAAATGCATTCATCAATCATATTGCACAGCAAACTCTCAACACAATGCACTGATTTAAATTCACAGATACCATGCCAACATAGACTATTGAACATTTCACTTCATTAGCATTTACTTATGTTAATAGGTGATGTAGCTGGGTGTATTCTTACAAGTCTTAGTGTAACAACAAAAGTAAGATGCCAATGTGTCTGATTGTGTAGGTTAGTTTTAATAATAAATATTTGCAAACGTTTAACTAAGAATGCTTCTGGCCCTTATTCTAACTTGTATTTGGAAAATGTTTCTGTTCCCTAATCCTAGTGTAATGGCAACAGGTTAATTATTTTGCTTGGAAAATTGAACAAAAAAGACTCACCAAATTCATTCATAAGGTCAATGTGCTTAGCCAACAGGGATATTCTTAGATAGTAGGAACTGCAGATGCTGGAAAATCTGAGATAACAAGGTGTAGAGCTGGATGAACACAGCAGGCCAAGCAGCATCATAGGAGCAGGAAGGCTGACGTTTCGGGCCTAGACCCTTCATCAGAAATGGGGGAGGGGAAGGGGGTTCTGAAATAAATAGGGAGAGAGGGGGAGGCGGATAGAAGATGGATAGAGGAGAAGATAGGTGGAGAGGAAACAGACAGGTCAAAGAGGCGGGGATGGAGCCAGTAAAGGTGAGTGTAGGTGGGGAGATAGGGAGGAGATATATCAGTCCAGGGAGGACGGACAGGTCAAGGGGGCGGGATGAGGTTAGT